ACTTGTTTATCAATTCTATATATACCTGTCAGTATCTACAAATCTTGAACTCCCAGTCTGTCCCTTCCCACTCCCCTAACCCCTGGCAACCACAAGTTTGTATTCTATGTCTGTGAGTCTGTTTCTCTTTTATATTTAAGTTCATTTGTCTTCTTCTTCTAATTTTTTTCTACATTCCACATATGAGTGATGTCATATGATATTTTTCTTTCTCTTTCTGGCTTACTTCACTTAGAATGACAAACTCCAGGGGCATCCATGTTGTTGCAAATGGCATTATGTTGTCATTTTTATAGCTGAATAGTATTCTATTGTATAAATATACCACAACATCTTTATCTGGTCATCTGTCAATGGACATTTTGGTTGTTTCCATGTCTTGGCTATTGTAAATAGTGGTGCTATGAACACTGGGGTGCTTGTATCTTTTTCAATTAGGGTTCCTTCTGGATATATGCCCAGGAATGGGATTGCTGAGTCATATGGTAAGTGTATTCCTAGTCTTTTGAGGAATCTCCATACTGTTTTCCACAGTGGCTGCACCAAACTGCATTCCCACCAACAGTGTAGGAGGGTTCCCTTTACTTCACACCCTCTTCAGCATTTATCATTTGTGAACTTTTGAATGATGGCCATTCTAACTGGTGTGAAGTGATACCTCATTATAGTTTTGATTTGCATTTCTCTGATAATTAGTGATATTGAGTATTTTCTTGTATGCCTATTGGCCATTTGTATGTCTTCATTGGAGAACTGCTTGTTTAGGTCGTGTGCCCAGTTTTAGATTGGGTTGTTTGTTATTTTTTATTAAGTGGTATGAGCTGTTTATATATTCTGGAGATTAAACCTTTGTCAGTCTTATCTTTTGCAAATATTATCTCCCATTCTGTAGGCTGTCATTTTGTTTTGCTTATGGTTTCCTTTGCTGTTACGACAGTGTCTTGATTACTGCTGCCTTTTGGTATGTTTTGGAATCTCCAATTTTGCTCTTCCTTTTCAAGACTGAGTTGGCTTTCCAGGGTCCCTTGAACTTATATATTAATTTTAGGGGTTTTTTCCTATTTCTGCAAAGAATGACATTGTGATTTTGATAGGGATTTTATTAAATCTCTAGGTACCTTTAGCTAGTATGGACATTTTAACAACATTAAATTTTCCAATCCATGAACATCAGATGTCTTTCCATTTGTTTGTGTTTTCTTTGATTTCCTTTAGCAATGTCTTACAGATTTCAGTGTGCAAGTCTTTTCATCTCCTTTGTTAAGTTTATTCCTAAGTGTTTTATCCTTTTTGATGCTATAGTAAATGAGATTGATTTCTTAAGTTCCTTTTCAGATTGGTCATTGATAGTGCATAGAAACGCAGCTGAGTTTTGAAAAATTTTTATATTAAGGAGCTATGTGGTATTCTGTTGTATGGATAGCATAGTTTATTTGACCAGTCTCCTATTGAGGACTGTCTACGTTGTTTCTAAATCTTTGCTGTTACAAACAATGCTGCAGTGAATAGTTTTGTGGACAGCTTTTTCACATGTAGAATATGTCAGTTAGATAACTTCCTAGAAGTTAAATTGCTGGATTAATGGATATATACATTTAAATATTTCATAGATACTGCCAAAGCGTTATGATTATGACATAAAATAGTCAGAATTTGTGATGGTGTCTATTAAAAATATGAAAGTATCTATTTTATCATTTAATTTGCTCTTTTAAAGGTAATTTACCTTGTCTTTCTTGCAAAGCAAATAAGCAAACTCACAAATTACACATTTATGGTCGAGAGTCCAAGAAAGGATTATATATTGATTTCTGTGGCAATTTGATGAAAAATGTGTACCAGTGAATTTTTTTCTAAAATAGAGCTGAAGGAAACTTATTGACAATCATTTGTTGAAAGTGATACACCTATATCAGTAAAAGTTTTAGTCGTCCTTTAATAGCAAATAAATCTCTCCATGATTCACATATATAGTCAGCAATTTTATATTTTAAAAATTATTTGATTATAATTTTGTTATTAAGATGTTTTTCTGTCTGTGGAATTTGTCATCTAAAGATGCTTGTTTTAAGAAGTCTTGTCCCCAAGAGCTCGTTTAAAAGTTGTGTATTGTCTTGTAACGCAGTGGACCTCCTTTCAAATTAACTGCATTCACCAAGGAGGAAAATATAACTTCTGTAATTTGTACGTTTAAATGATATTTAATGCATAAAAGACAAGGAGGAAACCACTATACCAGATACAAAAGGCTGGTTTCTACAGTTGGCAATGGTACTTCAGTATTTGAAAGATGACTTGAAATGTATACAAGCTTCTCTTGATTAAAAAAGTTGCTACAGTTTATCTGATCATCAAAATGTTCTGTGCAAAGAAGGCGAATCACTTGCTATTCTGGTAGAAAGCAGCAACCCTGTCACCTAAACACAACAGGAGCTCTTGCTAAATTCAGGAAAATCAAATAGAATGAATGAAAACATGTATGGCAGAATAAATTTAGAAATAAAATTTGAAACTATTTGATTTTACGGAAATGATTTGTGACTTGCAGATATCACCAATGGACAATTAAATTATAGAATATGAAAGTTAGAAAGGCTTTTAGAAATGATACAGCCAAACCTCTGTAATGAGGTGGAAAAGTCACATCAGACTGGGGAAACGGTCAAAGTGTGGGTGTTCCAAGCGGCAGTTTAGCGTTTATTCAATACTGAAAAAAATCGTGTGCAGATCTTAAGTTGGTCTTATGTTTTATATTTATGATATATATTTGTAAGCAAGCTGGCATGCTTAATATTATATATAAATCATCTAGGAAATAAAGAGCTTGATGATAACCTGGACTAAAGGAAAGAAAATGTAAAGGATGGCCGTATAGATTAGCGGTTAATAGCGAAGCGTCTGATCCGAATCTTGGCTCCGCTACTGTGGGACTTTGTGTCTTGGTTTCCTCATCTGGAAAATGTAGGTAACAAGCGTATGTCTGCCTCAAAGGGTATAACGATTACGTGAGATAACCTGGGTAAAGGATTAGTATAGTGCTGGGTATATAGTAAACTCCCAGTAAATTTAAGTTGCTGTTATTGTTTTGTCAATATAGCAAAGAAAGAGGATGGATTAAAAAGCATTTTCAGAATAAAGTCAAAATACGTCACTAGCACCTTCAGGTCAGTGGGACTGAATTGGACCCCCTAAGAAAAGGCGGAGGGGATCAAGTGACGTAGACCGCCTTAGCAACAGGCCCCCAAAGAAGGTGAATTTCAGTAGCCAATAAGAATCAGCGCTGCGGAGAAGGCAGCCAATGGATGACGGAAAGGGGAAGAGGGAGGGCGCGCCAATTCTGCTGCCTGAGCCTCGGCCCAACAAAATGGCGGCGGCGGCGGCGTCGCTTTGTTTCCGCGGCTCCTGCGGCGGTGGCAGCGGTGGCGGCCTTTGAGCTGTGGAGAGGATCCAGCACCAGCTCTAGTGACGGCTAGGAGTCCAGTGCATTTCTATCGTAACTGGGCACCGGGGAGCGCAGAGTGGCGCCCTACGGTCGCTGAAGCCGACAAGGCGTTGAAGCGAAAACATGACTGCTGAGCCCATGAGGTAAAACACAGCACCGTCTCACGGGTTCCAGCCGTCGCGGCCTACGCTCCTTCTGAGCCGGGTGTTTGGGAAAGCTTTGGTTTAGCGAGTTAGGCTTGTGTTTTGCTAAGCGGAAAGAGGCATCTTTTTAGGTGAGGAGGGTTTCGGGGTTTCGGCGGTAGGCTTCAATACGGGGTGGGGGTGGGGGGCGCGGCCTGGCATTTCGGGCGCTTTCTCCAACGTCCCCTAACCCGTGGAGCTTAGTTGGCCTCATCTGTTTATTCTTTGGTGCCTGTGGAATTGAGACCCCAAAGTGGGAAATGGTTTTTGGCATCCTGGTCATTTTTCCTAATCTTTGGGCCTAGAAACTGCGTGGGGAAGAAGCGGGGGTGGGGGTGAGAAAGGAGGGGGTGGGGGTGGGAAAAGGAGGGGTGGGGGTGGGAAGAGGGGGAGGGGCGGGCGGGAGGATGTGAGATCCTGGGACTACTTAGTGGCGTTTAGATCACTGGAGACGGAAAGTACCCCAGCCTTGCGCAATTTTTTTTTTTCTGAAGCCCATGGGGACAAGCCCATTTTGAGGGGTGAACGAGTGGGTCTTGCCAGTGTTCCTTCTCTACTCCAGATCCTCAAGGGTATCCTTGGATTTACCTCCAGGCAAGGGGTTAGTAACGCAGCGTTTTGCTTCCAGAGAACCCCAGTATACTACTTTCAGTGTAGTCCAGCTTTAATGGGTGGTAAGGCAGTCCTAAAATGTTCCTCCACTTTCTGGGCAAATTTTGAGCAAAAGTAATTAGACCTTGTTTTTGTTGATTTATTCTGTGATGGGTGAGGAGCACGTTAACGTGGGTCAAAGAGAAGTAAGATCTGTTGCAACGGAGGCAGTGTCTGGCAGGCCACCTCTTATCAACCAAGCACGTTTATTAGGTTGAGGCTGTTTTACTCTACTGCTTCTGATTTGCCTCTTGAAACTGTCAAAAAATGTGGGTTGTTAATATGAAATATATATCACTTTTACACAGGTTTGCTGACTTGCTTTTCAGTTTGACATTTTACTTTTCATCCCTTGTGAATTAAGTAATTTTCTTACTCTGAGATGTATCCTTGTCGCCCAGTGGCTAAATAAAATTACAGGGACTGTGGATCAGAATTACATTGGTAGTTGGCAAAATGTGCTTTTGAGTATATATATGTATATATATAGGTATGTATGTTTATAGAGCACTTTAGCTAGCATATAGAATTTGGGAATGAACCTATAATACTTACGCCTGTTTTTCTGAACTAACAAGCAGTAAATAAAAGATGTTTTCCTTCCTTTGAGAAAAAAATGCACTTTAGTTCTTAGATTATAGATCCCTAGTTGTGTAAAAATTGTGGCCTTGGGTTTCTGAATTAATTGGTCCAGGTGTAGTAAGTCTTTAAGGGATATTGGGCACATAAGAGGTACCCAGTACAAATTGGTGGCTGGTTATTATCAGGTGCTCGTGTTTGTATACATGTCTCTTACAGTTAAATATGACCTCTAGGTTTTCCTAAATCTCACAAAGTCTGCATTTAAAACTGTAGATTGAACTTGGATTTTCTCCCCCTTTTTAGGGTAAACAAATTAATTATTTACAGACTTTCTGAATAGAATTATTCATTTTATGCCAGGGTCAATTTTTCTTCTGGATCTTGAATTTTTGTAGATGTTGGTGGTAAGAGTAATAGTCATAACTAAAACTGAGTGCTTATTGTTGATCTTTACCCATATAATCTTGCTTAATTCTCAGAGCAACCCTATTGGGTAGGTACTTGGTGTTTCCCATTTTACAGATTAGGAGGAAACTGAGGCATAGAGAGATTAAAGAATTTAACCAAAGTTATACAGCTGTAATAGGTGGAGCTGGAATTTAACCCAGTCTTGACTCCAGAGCTTATGTTCTTAACCAAGCGACATTAATGCCTCTTTGAGCTGCCAAATATAATGATTATGACCATTTCAGTTTAGCCCGGGTATTACAATGGAAGAAGTTCATGTTAGCTACCATTGTCATTTGTTGTAGGTCTTTGAGTTTGTAGCTGTTTATAATATTTTGCCTTTTATATTCAGATGTGTTAATGGAATAACTGAAACATTTAATTCCAGGATAATCTTAAGCTATGTGAAAAACTCCTTGTAAAGAACACATGTATGGAGAATTAATTTTAAAAAGTATGATACGCTCTGAATATTTACTATGAAAGAGCTCCAAGTGGGTGTTCAGAAGAACTGTCTCAGGCTCAAGTGTCATTCATCTCAAGCCATAATCATAGTTAAGGGATAATCTGACAGGTAATGCTTGAGTGAGTTGAACCCACAATAACCACATCACTCTTGATTCTATTCTAATGTGAGGTAGAAATAATATGAACAATTCTATGCGTTGTCATTAATTTAATTCTATACAGGAGTTCCAGATTTCTTTATCAGATCTTCTGTCTAGCAGGAACAAATATTAGTTCTAATATTTACTTGTGTTTATAAAAAGCAAAATTTCTAGGATTCTATGGTGAAAAAAATAGCCAAAAGACAAAAGGGAGGAAAATAAATTGATGACTTGGCTAAATCATACAGTTGGCCCTGTGTTCCTCCAGTTCAGTATCCATGAATTTCAGTCTTTAGTTGGTTGAATCTGAAGGTGCAGAACTGCAGATATGGAGGGCTGACTTTGAGACTTGAGCATCTTCATATTTTGGTTTCTGTGGTGGGTCCTGGAACCAACTCCCTGCGGATACTAAGGGACAACTGCACACTGAAAAGTCAGTGACTCAGTCTTTAAAGGTTTTGTTACTGTTTTTAAAGGGTTTTTTTGTTACTTGTTTTGTTTTAAATAAGATTGCTTTTTTCCTTCAAATTTTTGGCATTATGAAAGGTCAGCCTCTGATTGACAAAAAAACTTTAATTTATTTTTATATAAAGATCTTAAAAATTTGATGGGATTTGTCATTCCAATCCTTACAGCAATTGATTACTTGAAAAGCTGAAAACAGTATAACTAGTTATTGGTCTTAAATTTAAAAAGGCAGAGGTTGTCTGAATTGAGAGATGTTGGGAAAATATCTTAGAAAGTGTTATGGTGGTAGTTCACAATCAATTGCATACTAACTTAATTTCTGAAAAATGTTACCTGAAATATTTGCATTCCGACTGTGTGGGGTGAAAAGAAAGACATTTGTGACTTTTACTGTGACCGGGCCAGTTCTCATTATTGGCAACCCTTGGTATAGTTGGCCATGAGCTTTCTGTTATACATTGTATTTCTAGAGAGAAGATAAATGTAGTACTTAAAGGTATTTCTGTGTAGATATAGGTGTTTGAAATAATATTTTCTGTAAGAAATTATATATATTTACGTGCCTATTTCACTTTTGGACTCTGAATAGATTTACGGATTGGGTGACAGGATACAGGTAGTTCTTGGGTTTACGTGAAGTACTTTTCCTCGGGACTGTGAATGTTCTCTTAGACATTGGCAGATACTGTTCAAATGGGTTAAGCCTTTTGAAAATGATTTATAGATCTTCCTTTTGGAATGTTGAGTATAACGGCACTAAAAGGAGTGTCTATGTAGGATCTCTCTGTACATGTATCCTATTGCTTATCCACTGTTTGTAGATACAGGTGTTTTGTTGCTAATATTGGTTTGATAGATGACATGGAGGATGATTAACCTCCATATCTCCATCTGTAAAATGGGAGTAAGTTTAAAAGCTATTGATAAAGCCTGCAGTTCTGGAGGAGGTAACATGGTTATAACAGTGGTTCCTAAAAGACAGTAAAGTAAAGGCTCTTTGGGGTCTTTGTTAATTTTTAAGTGTTTTAAGAGTGTAAAGAGGTCCTGAGACTAAAAATTTGAGAACTTCTGATGTAGAGGAATGAACTCTTAACTCTGAGCCAAACCTGGGTTTTCTAGTTACAGCTCTGTTGTTGCTTAACTGACTGTTTGACTGTGGACAAATCATTTATCTTTTTTAGACCTCTGCTTTGTCATTTGCAAAATAAATTTGTACTAGATGATTCATAAAGTTATTAAAAAATAACTCTGCTTATGTTAGTGTCCATTCTTTTTTGACTTTGTTTGCCTTTGAGGGGTAGGGAGAAGAAATGATGAGGGGAAGTTTCTTTATTCAATGTATGTGCATCTTTTTTGCTTTAAAACTTGCATGGTTAGGATACAGGTGTTTTGTTGCTAATATAATGTCATAGTATCATATACATACTTGTGCAAACATTGGAAAGGAAAACTTTTGCTGGGAGGTTTGTTAATAATTATTGTGGCTCAGGATATGTTTTATATTTTGAAAGATTACTATATCCAGTATATTTCTGCTCTTTCATGATTGGAGATGATACTTCTGAAAAGGTATATTAGTTCTAGCCAGTTGTGCTTTTTGCCCTGGGAAAAGGTTCTGTGAATTTTGCTCTGTATCCAGTCTCTAAGACTTTGTATCTGAGTTTTGGCTTGAAATAGCCATTCTTGGTATCAAGAGTCCAGCTTTCTTGTTAACTGTTACATGCATGCAATATTTGCCTAATAAATTTTTGATATGGCAGTGGTGTTCATGTGTATATACCCTATACTGTGTATTTTGAGGGAATGCTTTATTAGTTGATCAAAAACTCCAGTAGCAACTAGGGGCCAGGGACTGTGTGTATGCAAAGGGGTAATAAGACAAAAATTCCCTCCTCCTTAAAGCATTCCTAATCTGAGGTGGGGGAAATAAATAAGCAGTTTCAAAGCAGTGCTGAAATGGAGGTACATTGGTTGTGTTAGGGATCAGAATGAAGGAATGGGGGATGTCTGGGAAGTTTTGCAGAGGAGCTGGTATCTGTATTGGGTCTTGAAGATAAGTTAGCAGTTAAGGATTGGCTGTGAAAAAGGGCAGTCCAGGCTGAGGGATTAGTATGGCTAAAGATTAGTCTTATTTTCCACAGAGCATAGGAAATAAGACATGTTCACAAATAAATTTGAAGCAGGATATAAAGTACTAAATGCTGCATTAGGTAAAAGCTGAGTTGCTATGGGTGTTCAGAATAGGAAGACATTTCTGACTGGGTCCAGGGAAGGCTTTATAGAGAGATAGCTTTTGAGTGTGGCCCCTGGAGGATGGGTATACTTTTGACAAAGAAGACTTGGGGGAGGATTTCAGATGTGAGGTATAGCAGCTTGAGCAAAGAAATGTATATATTAGTATTTTCTAATTGAAAGGAGGTCAACTTAGAATTCTTGACCCAGTTCATGGACAAATATTGTATAACCATTGTGTAGTTAGTATTTTTTCCAGCTTTATTGAGATATAATTGATATGTAGCATGTGTAAATTTAAGGTGTACAATGTGATGATTTGATATACATATTTATTTTGAAATGACTACCACAATAATTACCATTTTTGTTATTGTGGGGAGAGCATATAAGATCTACTCTCCAGCAACTTTCAAGTATATACTACAGTATTCTTAACTATAGTCACCATGCTGTATGATGTACATCAGATCTTGTGAGTGAGCCTGATAATTTTAGTTCAGAAGAATTGTAAAAAGAGTAACCCATTTTTCTTAAAGATTGTATAAAATTTAATGGACAGATGTTGAATGACTGTTTGTTCAAAATATATCTTTAGTTGTCTTTATTTTGATCATTTGTCAGTTGACTTTTGGGTGACATTTGATTTATGAACTCCAAAATAAAAAAATAATTTATTTTTGAGTAATATTGGATTTATTTTGCTTATTTGAATTATATTTTTGAGTTTTTTTTGGTTTATTTGATAGAATTCCAAACTTAGTTGTCCTATAATGCTTGTTTTGAATATGTGAATTTGTTCCAACAAGATTGACACATCAGGGAACAATTTGAGCATAAGACAAAATTTACATTTGCTTATTCAGGATTTTGTGTTCAAGGTCAGGTTTTAGCAAACTGTGGCCACAAAACAGTGGCCTATTTTTTTAAATAAAGTTCTGTTGGAACACACCCAAGCCATTTGTTTACATTGTCCTGTGGCTGCTTTTGTACCAGTCTCAAAGTTGACTAATTGCAATAGAGACCTAATGGCCCACAAAGCTTAAAATATTTACTATCTGGCCCTTTATAAAAAGTTTGCCCTGGGTGAATGCAGGAAACTGTACCCAGCTGAACTGAGCTGCATTAAAATACACACGTGTACAGGCACATACCTCAAACACCTGCCAGCTACCTCAGTTCACCCCTTGTATTATGAGCCACATTCATCCACATCTGTTGTTACAATTTTCCATCCGATTTCAGATAACCTTCCTTCCATCACTTCACAATAATTCATGAGATGCAACCCTTCTGATGCCCACTTCCACAAGCAAACTTCATGTCTTTTTCAAGGTAAAGTGTCATTTATTGTTGTACTTGTGTATTTGTTAATCACTTTAAGTGTGTAAACTGTGTAAAATTGTGCTATCATTTCTGCTAGGTTTCTATCTTTTAAAAAAATGTGTCACTGATGAAGTTTTTTGAATGTTGTGCTTCGAACCCCATTTTCCCCGTGAGTCCTGCAGTGTCATTGCATAATTTTGCATTAACTCGTGATTTAAGAACTCCTGTTACATAATTGCAGAACTGATTGTAATTGTCATCCTGCAAAAAGTACTAATTCATTCACCAAATATTTCTTGGGCTGTGTGATGATTAAATGAATTAATGGACACAAAACACTTAAGTTAGTGTCTGGGACATAATAATTGCTCAGATATTAGTTATTACTAATGACTGTTATCATGTGTCTTGGAAGAGCTGTTCTAAATACTACTTAGGTGGACAAGACAAATTAAGGCTCTCCATGGAGCTTCCATTATACTTTAATCTGTATTAATTTACATTTTGACTAGTAACTGTCCCCCCCAAAAAAGATGTTTTGATGTTTTGATAAAATGATATTTAAAAGTGTCTATCCACAGATCAAAGATACTTACTTAAAATAACTTTCTAAACAGTGTCTCATTCATCTCATGTGATATTTTATTGAATGATTTTTTGAGAATTTTTTTTTGTAACTGTAACCTCAGGAGATGAATCTGATTCTGCATTCAAGGAGATAAAGAATAATCATCTCTTTTTTCCTGTATTACAAAATAAGGAGTTACCACCAAATACTCTCTTATGTAACCTCAGTATAGTTAGCACAATTAGAAATTGACATTGATATAGTACTATTTCTAATCTGCAGACTTTTTGCCAATTGATTCATAATGTCCTTCATAGTGAAAGACAAAAAATTATTTTTTTCTGGTCCAGGATCCAGTTCTGGAATAGGCATTGCATTTTATTGTCATTTCTCTTTAATCTTCTTTAATCTGGGGCAGCTGGAGCAGTTCACCTTGCCTTTTTTTCCCTCTTCATTTTTTGAAAAACACAGGGCAGTAAATTTGGTTTTGTCTGATGTTTCCTTGTGATTATGTATCTTTCCAGGGATGATATGAAGTAATGTGCCTTTCTCAGCACATTTTATCAAGAATTTTACTATATTTTTAATATGTTTTTATTTTTAATACTAAGATTATCAGCTCATTCTCTGTTGCTTAATTTAGAGATTTGAAGCTATGCATGGTTAATTTCTATAGAGTTGGGGAGAATTTGCCCACCTCTTATTTTTCTTGCTTTTCCTCTTTCCACTTTCCTCAGATACCCCCAAAATTCAAAACCAAAACAGCCTATTTATGAATTTTCATTATGTTTTCTGAGTATCTACTAAAAATAGAGAACTAAGAGTAAACGTTTTGTATTAAAGTGATTGTACCTGTTACGTGTGAAGTACGTGAAATAATATATTTCTTTTGAAGGCGAACTATAGAGCATACAACATAGCTTACTTACAGTTTAGAGACAGAAGGGAAAATATTTGATGTACTAAATGACTGCAGGGCTTTTAAAAAATACTCAACAAATCACCATCCTTTTCTTTTAAGGAATTCCTGCCTGAACAGGCATTATTTTCATTTTAATAAACATTTAGTATTTCTCTGTAAACTCAGACCAGTTTCCTCCTTTGAGGAATTTACCTTCCAGTAGAGAGTACTCTTAAGTTTTAAACAAGAAACTTTAAGCAGAATTGATTATTAAAAGTAAAAGAAGGGGAGAGTATAGCTCAAGTGGTAGAGCGCATGCTTAACATGCCGAGGTCCTGGGTTCAATCCCCAGTACTTCCTCCAAAAAAAAAAAAAATAAAGTAAACCTACGTACTTACCCCTACCCCCCAAAACAAAAATAAGTAA